TAATAGAGCTCGTGAATATTGGCAAGTACGTTCTCTGCACGTATGGAAATGACATCATGAAGTCCTTACTCTACCCTTAATGTTAACTTATAAAAATTTTCAAAAAGTACAAAAGGACTAGAATGAGTATTTTGAAAAAGAAAAGTGGAGGATAATTAATGAAGAATAGTTAAAAACATCCAAAAGGAAGATGTAAAACCAAAAACATAAACATAAAATGAAAATACCAAAACCATTACCTGCAAAAAAGTATTTTGGAGCTTGTATCTAATCCTTAAAAGATTTTAGTGTTACCTCTTCAGAGGGGGGAATGTTAGAGTAGCCAAAAGCCCCATAAAAATCAATAAATAAATCAAAGAAGAAAAAAATGCAGCAAAAAAAGAAAGAAAATGAAAAAAATATCCCCGAATAAAACCAGCCTGGAACCAGACAGATTCACTGATGATTTCAGCAGACCTTTAAAGAAGAACTAAAACCAGTGCTCCTCAAACTATCCCATTAGATAGAATGGGAAGAAGTGCTTCTAAATTCTCCCTACAAAGCCCATTATTTCCCCGTACCAAACCCAGATGAAGATATATTCATAAGAGAAAAGTATCCAATACCCCTGGCGAACAAAAACGCAACAAACGTTCATAAGGGTACTTAGTAGTGAGCTGCAGAGATGGCTCAGAAGCTAAGAGCACTTGTTGCTCTTCCAGAGGACCTGAGTTCAATTCCCAGCAACCACGTTGAGCAGCTCACGACCACCTGTAACTCTAGCTCCTGGGGCATCCAACACCTCCAGCCCATTCAGACACCTGCCCGCTCACCCAAACAGACACATGATTAAAAATTTAAAAGAGATCGTACTTAATCCTTTATACCAAATTCGACAGCATATAAAAAGGCCATACTTCACAATGAAGATAGGTTCAACCAGTCAGGCAAGGATTCCAACATAAACCACCTGATAAATAAGACAGCATGGGAACAGAATCAAAGGAAAGAATCACATAATCATAAAAAGAAAGAAATGCTGTCATATTCAGAAAAAATGCATTGCATTGAGTGTAATGAGCCAGTCCCACAAAGACAAATATTGCCAACCTGTTTTAAATGCAGAATCCCGGGTGTGGGGGCTCTTGAAAGTAAAAGGGGAAATATTCGGGATGTGGAAGGGGAAGGGGAGGGAGTTTAAGTGTAATAGAGCTCGTGAATATTAGCAAGTACGTTCTCTGCATGTATGGAAATGTCATCATGAAGTCCTTACTCTACCCTTAATGTTTACTTATAAAAACTTTCAAAAAGTACAAAAGGACTAGAATGAGTAGTTTGAAAAAGAAAAGTGGAGGATAATTAATGAAGAATAGTTAAAAACATCCAAAAGGAAGATGTAAAACCAAAAACATAAACATAAAATGAAAATACCAAAACTATTACCTGTAAACCGCAGCCAGTAAGGTGAGGCTCAAGCTGACTATGTCCAAGTTAGATAAGTCACCAAAATCCAAGTCCGGAATTTCACCAATGTCCAAGTCTACTAATTCACCAAAATCCAAGTCCAGAATTTCACCAATGTCTAAGTCTACGCATTCACCTTTTTCCAAGTCCAAAAAATCACCAACGTCAAAGTCCAAAAATTCACCAACGTCCGAGTGCCGCAGATCACCACCAGTCAGCTCTCTGCACTAGACGGACACAGCTCAGCCCAACCAGCTTATCATATAGGCAGGTATCAGCCATTCCTCACAATGACTGTTCGTGCGGTCAGAGCAAGAAATGAAGCAGCGAATGACAGGCATACTCCTCACTGAGTTTTCTTGATTTTCGTTCAAGAGAAGTGTATTAGTTACTCTAGTCACTACAACCAAATGCCAAACAAATAGGAATTTAGGAATGAAGACTTCATGTGGATAATATTTTGAGTGACAGGCATGGTGGCAAGATATGGCTACTTACAATGTATTGGTAATCACCCAATCCCACCCACACCCAGTGAACTGCTTTCTGGAGCTAGGCCCCACTTCCCAAAGGTTCTCCATTTCCTCCAAACACCATCACTTGCTGGGGATCAGTAATTCAAACACAAGAGTCTATGGGAGATATTTGAGAAGCCCAGAGCCCAGTTCACAGGCTTCTTTTAAAGACAAAGACCACAAACTACAAGCGGTAGAAGTGGGAGAGAGAAAGCTGCAGTAACATCACAAGCGGCGGCTATGTGCCAAGCAGAAAAGCGGTGGCTATGTGCCAAGCAGAGGTAGGGGGGTATTTCTGGGATGATTTCCAGCTTGGGCAAGGAGCATGAAAAAGGTCAGCTCAGCTTGTTCTTAGCATTTAGAAATATTTTTCATTTTTACTTCCTTGTACAGTTTTTCTCAGGCCTGGGGGATTTTAGTTTAAATCTATCATTTTGGAGGGACTTGGGTCCATCATTTGGGGGGACTTGGGTCCATCATGCTAACACTGAACTGGACATATGGGAGAAATAAGGTATAATCACTAAGTCATGCAAGGACTCTCTCTTCAGGGAGCTTCTTTCATGATTACATATATCTAAAACTCAAGTAACAATAAGAAGTGTTGCTTACCATTTCAGTAGTCATCACTTTGGCTACAATATGTGTTACAGTCTTTCCAAAGCCTCTTTTTCCTTTTCTACATCTCAGAATCCTTGGGAAGAAAGGTCCATGAACTCTACAGCTGAAAATATTTGTGATTAAATTAACATGAAAAAAACCTACCTCAATATACCTTTACTTAGTACTGAGCACAATGTAACAAGATCTTTTAGACAACTGTGTAATTAAACCCTTACATTCTACTTTTTTTTTTTTTTTTTTTTTTTTTTTTTTTGTCTTTTTGAGACAGGGTCTCCCTGTAGCCCCAGCAGGCCTGGAATTCACTATGTAGACCAGGACGGCCTTGAACTCAGAGATCCACCTGCCTCTATCTCCCAAGTACTGGGATTAAAGGCATGCACCACCAGGACCAGCACATTCTTCAGCACCTGTAAATTTGCATAGAATCCACTAAAACCATGGCCTCAGCCACTTAGACTTTCCATTACAGTAGAAAGAATTCTTGTTTGTATTTTCACAATCCATTGAGTTGTATAGACTCATACAGAGCAGAGATAGGTTATCTCTTGTTGATACAGAGGCAAAAGAATGTATATAATTTATTTTTGAAAAAATTTGAACATTTTTATTTATGTGTAGCATCTATATCTGTGTATAGGGTATGTGTATGTGTGTGCACATGTCTGTGGAGGTCAGAATTGAGCATCTGATCTCAATGAGCTGGAGTTACAGAATGTTGTAAGCCACCCAACTCAGGTGCTGGGAACTGAACCTGGGTCCTCTGCAAAAACAGCAAGCGATCCTAACCACTGAGCTGTCTCTCCAGCTCCCTTATTTTTTTTTTGATATTTTATTTATTATTTTTATTTTACATGTACACATGTATTGCCTGTATGTAGGTAAGTGCACCCGTGTCATGCAATGCCCGTGGAGGACAGAAGAGGCTGTCGGATCCCTGGAACTGGAGTTATGGACAGTTGTTAGCTGCCATGTGGGTGCTGGGATTCGAACCCAGGTCTTCTGAAAGAACTACCAGTGTACCAGCGTTCTTAACTGCTGAGCCATCTCTCCAGCCCCAAGCCCCCTTAATTTTAAGAAGCACAAACAGTTAACAGGTTGTTTTGTTTCAATGGTCTCTTCTTGTCCTCCTGGCTGAAGAATTACTACTTTACAGTATTGGCCACTGGGCACTTTACTATCTTCCTCTTTCTTTTTCTTTTTTCTTTTTTTTTTTTTTTTTGGTGTCTTTTTGAGGTTTCCCTGTAGCCCCAACTGGCTTGGAACTCACTATGCAGACCAGGCTGGCCTTGAACTCACAGATATCTGTCTGCCTCTGCCTCCCAACTGCTGGGATTAAAGGTCTGTGCCAACATACGCAGCTCCTCTTTTTCTACCTTTTTTGCATGTCCTAGTTCCCAGCACTTAGTCATATAAGTGCCTACAAAAGAAAGTCAGGGCAAAAAATTCAGTGTAACCTTTGGCTTTCATCATTACTGTCCCCTGGAAGGGACACTTCTTTTCTAGTAGGTACAGATTTGTCAGTAACCTCCTTAGGTATGTTTTTTCAGGTTCTCTGAAGCATTTTACGCTTGATGATAAGCAAATTCAGCTAACATAAAATAATTTTCCAATCCAGGCATGGTGATGCACACCTTTAATTCCAGAATTTGGGAGGCAAAGGTAGGCAGATCTCTGTGAGACTGAGGCCAGCCTGGTCTACATAGCAAGTTTCAGGCTAGCCGGGCAACATGGGGGTACAGCGAACAAACAAAAAATTTCAATATACATGTTGTACCTTGTCCTTAACTCATAAATGAAGTATCTATTATTATTATTATTATTATTACCATTATTAGGGTTTTTTTGAGACAGGGTCTCATGTAGCTCAGGCTGGCCTTGAGCTCTAATCTCCTGATTCCACCTCTGGAAGGATGGGATTACAGATGTGCACTACCACATCCAGCTTTATAATCTTGTGGGACAAATGCTATCATGAAAGAATACCCATGTAATCTTCTGTGTCTACTTAAAATAGAACAAATCATTACCGCAGGCGTAAGTCTTCCCACATCTTCAACAATCCGCAGAGCATTACTATTTCATAGTATTTTTTCCAGCACTCCACAGTCTCGGCTGCAGATGGATCTTCTTTAATGTTGCTCTGGTACTCGATGAGCTCAACGCACTTGTTTTTATATTTCTCCAGAGTTTTTTTAAAGCGCTGTGTGATGGGACCAGGTATTGTTCCATCCTGAATGTCACACCACCTGGAAAGCATCAATGCAGTTATACACTTCTGCCTAAAAAGGTGAGAATCGGTTTCAAAACTGTACTTACAAATTAATTCTTTCTTCGATAAGGGCAGTATAATTCTCACAACTTTCTTCATCATCCCAGTCTCTCCAAAGAAAATCATAAAAAACCCTACAATAAACCAAATTAGGGTGACAGCAATCAAAAACATGAAAACCATGCTCAGAATTTTTTAAAAATGATGACAAAATTCTGCGTATCATTTTCATTTTATTCCTTACACTTATTTAGTGTGCGCACCTAGGTGCACATGCATGTGCAACAACACACAGGTGGAGGTCATAAGACAACTTGCAGGAGTCAGTTCTCTACTTCTGCCATATGGGTTCTAGAGATTGAACTCAGGTTCGATCAGACTTGGTGTCAGGCTGGCAGCAAGTATCTTTACCCCCTGAGCCATTTCATTGGCCCTTTTTTTGAGGAGCAGGCAGTGCTGGGAATTAAACTTATGGCCTCACGCATGGGGTGCACTGACCTGCGTGCAAGTAATACACTCATACCCAGAAAATTAAGAGAGTCAGTACAGTTTTAGAGAGAGGACATTTTACACAGATATTTGTTCCTTTATATAAGCATTCACGCTCTCTCTCTCTCTCTCTCTCTCTCTCTCTCTTTCTCTCTCTCTCTCTCTACATA